CCTTAACCCCCCCGGCCCCCAGAGACATAGTGCTTTTCACTACTTGCTGAGATTCAATTCATAGCCAGTGAATAATGAACAAACAGCATGGTAATATCTTTCAAAATTTATTCAAACTGTTGTAATATGATGAAATCAGAATGGACATACATCGTCGACTAACCTTGCATAGGTTACAGACTATGCCTCACCAACAAATGACAAACATTGCATACTGCGGCAAGAATCTATATGATTTTCTTTTAAAGATCTGACATGGAGGATCTCAACAGCCCAGTGGAGCATGAATGAGTACATTTATTATTTCCTTTTTTAAAATGTCTCCAGCACTGGCAGTTTCAGTCGCCGTGGTCGGGAGGAGACTTTGACCTTGGCCATGAGTGTAAGTTCGGACGAGAGGGAACACAGGTACTCCTGCTAAATGACAATCTGAATCTACTTAAGTCTAAAATATCCAACCGTCCAGCTGAAAACCATTTTAAAATGATTTCATGACAAGAGAAACAGTGTGGTAATATTACTAATGTTTGCATGAACAAAAATATTATATTTACATTTATGTTACGTTTAATTTATTTTGAGTGTTCATTCTTCAGTATTCATGTACTTACTCAGCAGAAGTACACTTTTTAAATCACAGACAAACACTGAGTAATGCAGAGTCTCTCAACCGGTTTATTTTTAGCTCGACACGCCTTTGTAAACTGAACTCCTTTGGGATTTTTGAACAGTTAAAAATAGTTTCAAGACGTCACTTTGGACTTTGGGAAATTATGATGAGCAATTAAGTCTTTTATTTTTTAATGTTTAAAAGGCTAACTGATTTAGTAATTTCTTGTAATCAAAAGGTATTACCTAAAGGCCAGAAATCTATGAAAATCTTTTTTTTAGTTCTCACATGTCGTGGCCAAAACATGAACTGAGGATGAGAGCTCATTCCTGAAAACCTTTTATCTTATTGGCTTCATCTTTTTTCTTTCACTAGTTTTGAACTTTGATGTACAAATTGTATTGTGTTCTCTCTTTTAAAGCTTATTTTTAATTCCTATTAAAATCTAAATGTATGTAAAGCAGCGTGAATCCGCCTTGTGTTGTGAGTGCAATACAAATAAATGTGCCTTCTCTATAAATTTTGATTACAATTTCTACCAGTTAAACTTTAAATAATTAAAAATTCTGACAACAAATCCCGTCATAAATTCCATGAGACCAATTTCAAGTCTTAAAACATCCTATTGTAACAGCCCAATAAACCAAAGGGATTCAATTTAAGAAACATTGGGAACATTTACTTAATTAATGACATTATCACTGATAGATTTTCAAAACTGTCATGGACTTTCTTTTTGATGAACAAATCAGGACACTCTTTGGTAAAAGATTTAACATTTTATTCTTCTCCGTTAAAGGGACAGAGCTCGTCCAAGTGGACAGGAATCATGCAATTTTTTTCTTCTAAGCTGCACGTATCAATATTTGTTTTAATATTAACAGTGGATTAATGTGCAATGTGAAAAGTGTTGCTCATAGCAACAAAACATACAGAGAAGAGTCACCAACTCTGCAGCTGTACAATTACTGCAGCTTCAAGTAAAAATATGCAAAATATAAATCCATATTTAGGTTGGAAAATGTCCTCGAGGTTGAGAAACTCTGCATCGATGGCTTAGAAGTCAAAGAATATAAAAGAACCAAAATATTTTTCCCGAACAGATTTAACAGAAATTGTTGATTTGCAGCTCACTGAAGATCAATCATGAGATATCTGTAAATTAACTTTTTGATCACGGCAGTTGGAAGCTTGTAAAGTAAATCATGTTATCTGTATAAAAAACTGGACTTTATTTTGGAGGGAAACATGTTCATCTCGTCCTGTTTACTACATACCAAAGATTAAAAATAACAACATCATGAAAAGGTTTTTAAAACACATATGACCCACAGTCTAGAAAATGTGATTCTTCTGTGTAACATCCGTCTGTTTAAGCTGCTCTGATGGTATGAAAAATCATAAAACTTCATTTGGTCCCTCCGGTGGCGTCTGTGGTGACGATGTGTCAAACTTTGGCCTAAAACACTACAAGTATGAACAGACAGAAACTGGAACCACAACACTACCAACTACCCTGATGTTGCTTTTTAATCACTAATTTCAAATAGCTGTCAAGCAAATATAGAACTACTTCTTCTTTTTGTATCCTTTAAAAAGAAAGTGGTGGAATTTGTAATTTTGCTCCCTCTGACCTGCTGCATGTTTCACATTTAGCACCTTCGTGGCATATTTTTATTTTTTCTTCCGACTGAAACATGAATTAAAGGGATTTCTTTTCTTCAAAAGTTGAACAGCATTTTATGAAACGGGCCTTAAACTAACTGGTTGATGACACACAGGACTGTAGCTGCTGTTAACAGACAATACAAACATCTGGAGTAACTCCAGAATACTATACATTATTATCCTGTTCACACAAGATGTGGATTTTGTTATCTTGAAAGCAGTATATTATTTACTTATGCACACTTATCTTATAACTTGTAACTTATTTTTAGTGCAGAAATATAATCTTGCATGTACAAATTATTATTATTATCTTGATGACAACTTATCATTTCCACATAATTGATTCTCAAATTATTGTCTTGTTGAAACAAGATAATAATCTGTGAACGCACGAGATAAAAAAATAAATAATCTGTTAGGACTTCAAGAGCTTCGCACAGCTCAGATTTAAACGTCTCACAACAGCACTTCAGAACCGGTAAGATACCATGATATGAGGCATACAGGTAATGCATTAGTAATACTGTCTATAATACAGTGTTCAAAGACATGAATGTGCTTTTTTATATTACATACTACAATAACAAAGAATCTGAGGTGAAAACCAAATAAATAAAAAAAAGTCATTTGAATGAACATATATGAAAACAATTATTTGTGATTGGCTGACAAGGTGTCTACTAAAAAACATCGTGTGAGAGCTCAAGCTGTTTTGAACTGCAGGTAATTAAAATGACAGGACTGATTAAGTTTTTTTTTAGCATGTTCAGCTGAATTAATTAATTAATTGCATGGAAGTGTTATGCTGCGTTCAAGGCATCTCGGAACATGGAAATTTTCAACCTCCAACTTCAAAACGTACCAAGAACATCACTTTAAGTCGTGAGTTCCTACTCGTGAACTTGAAACAAACAGGCAACATAAAGTATATTTGCCTGTATTTAATTAAAATACATATTATCACATAGTAAAACGGCATGTTCTGCGTGTAAACTGATGCCAGTGTTATTAGGTAGCTGGTTACAGTAAAGAATCTCTGAAAGTCAAGGAAAACATGAAAATTGCCCCCCAAAATGTGAAAACTTTACAAAATATAATCTACAACATTTACTGAATTTTGAGGATTTCAAACTGATGTAGCTTTATGGGTACAAAACTAACGAGTAACATATTCATATCACTTGATTTCATTAAAAAGGACAATTAAAGGAGACCTATTATTCTGCTTTTCCAGTCCTATATTGTAGTTCTGTGATTCCTGTATGGCAGCTTTGCATGATTCAAAGTTCAAAAAAATATTTTTTTCCCTTATTCTGGCTCTTCATGTAGGCCTTCATTTCAGCCTCTGTCTGAAAGAAGCTGTAGATGCTCCTGTCTCTTTAAGGCCCCCCCTCTCAAAGCCCACTGTCTTCTAGTTGGCCAAGAGCTGAAACAAGTTACCAGGCTGTTGCTGTGGAGCAAATTACCGTATGTTGAACAGCGGCTCCGTCTGGCTCCGTGTGTCGTAGAACGAACGGAGCCGTTGGTAGAAAAAGCAGTTGAAAACAGAGCGTTTAGGAGGAAATCTGATGTTTCTGCTCACAGGGATTTCTTAGAAATACTTTAACCTCATTATTTGAAGCTTTGGCTACGTTTAACATGAATATCCAACATTGTAACATTGTAGATAAGTCATAAAATGTGGGAAAGCATAAGCATTAAGTGTGCACACTTAACACATAAACATCAGTTTGTCACTGTCAGCCATGTTTGTAGTTCAAATTTGGCGTCATGCATTATCATGCATCTGGAACTCTTTGAGGTCGGAAGTTGAAAATTTTCCACGCAGCATTAAAGCTGAACACTGTTTTTTTTTCATGATTTGTGATGTGGGGTTAAAAACAAACTAAGGGAGTGGAGCTTTTTAAGGGGAAACAGGTGTTTCTAACTATCCTGATGACTGACTGGACATCAGAGATCTTCTGGGATGAATGACAAGTCACCACCTTCACAAGTTCAACAGGAGAACGTGGAAGATGTCAATAAAGCACAAGTCTGTACAATCAAACACTGTGTGAGTGGACGTGAAGGGAGGAAACTGATGAGATTCAGCTCTTCAAAACTTCAAGTTCCAAGTGTGAAACCAGCCAATGAGCCTGCAGGCTTTATTCATCCAAAACCAAATCCTACAGCAGTTTGTTTCACTGTTTGGTTGGAATAAAAAAAAACCCTGCAGACTCTTACATAACCAGATCTACTGACTCAGAAGAGGCTCTGCTGTTTAGCTGCTCAACAAAAGATGCATTTCTCATTTTCTGGACGTGATGGTTTCCTAAAATTCTGATCTGTTATGTGCGCTCAAAAAGAGAAGCAGATACTGCTGATGCTTTTAAGGACACGTTTCTTGAACTGAAATACACCTTAATACCACTTACTGTAAGACATCGAAGTTTCTTTAAGGTGCCTGTGATCGATCAAAACACAAAGATTTTAACCCACTAAAACCCTCTGTACCCTAAACTAACCCTGAACAACATTGGTGGATATTTCTAAACTGAAACCACACTAACTGACTTCACATGGCGGCACGAGGGAACTGTGTGAATGTTGGAGATTAAACACGAGGGAGTCCAGTTTTAAAGTGTCTATGAAGATTCTCAGTCATCCAGGTCATAGTTATCCAACTGACTGGCAGGGAAACTCAGCTATTTAACCTCAGTTGAGCTGAGTTTCCCTGCCAGTCAGTCAGAACTGAAGAAGTCCTTTGGATGAGGGACGAAACGTCTTCCAGTATCTTCAACCAAGTCCAGTTGCCCTTGATTTTAACCTTCGTTGGACAGTTTTAAAGTGTTAATCTTAATTATTCCTGTTGACACTTTTGGTGAGGCAGTTTGCAGTAAGTTCAAGTTTTCGCAACACAAATCCCAGAATCTGCAAAACAAAGTCTAAAAGTGGAGACTGAGAAGCCTACATCTCAACAGAGAAACATAAAATCCAGCCCTCCGTCCTGACTGTGGACACAGCTGGTGCATTCAGTGACCTTCATCAACCCGTACAGTCAGGAATTATCATGTGGCCAGGTGCTGTTCTCCAGGTGTTTACGTTAAGGTGAAATCTTCTTGCCTAAATGACAAAATAGGTCGACTGTCGACTGTCTTAAAACGACATATATGACCTATTTCCAGAACAACATGTAAGAGCATTGGTAAGTACCAGTCCAGCGACGTTACACAAGTCACGTGACAGAAGTCATCTATATAACGTGACGTAACTTATAACATATCACCTTTTGACTTTCTGTCACACAGGATTCAAACCTCAGTCTCCTCAGTTTACTTGACTCATCTATCCACCCCCTCCTTTTCTTTACCACTAGAAGTCGCAGTCTAATAAAACACCTAAACGTGGGTCGTAACAAGCTTCTGCATGATTCAACCTGTACAGGCGTTTCTCTGGTCAATCACGAAGTGGACAAATGACCTGTTAGTGTCATGTCCTCTGTGACAATAAAGCTTTTAATCTTTAGGTTTTGTCTGTGCTGAAACTCGAGTATCAGTTCTAGTATCATCTATATCGATATGGTTTATTGTCTTTTAATATAATCTGCTGGATTTTAAAGATCCCCCTCCTTAACTGTTTTTACTCTTCAACAAACTTCCCAGTGTCTCCTCACAGCTGACAGTCGTCAAGGACACGACATAAAACATGTGTCATTAAGGATTAACACTTTGAGTAACAGCTCGTTACTTACAGCTGTTGCTTAGACTGAAATTGTGAAATTAGAGAAAATAAAATTTTGCTTAGTGCATATTTTGTCCGGGTCAACGTGCGAATGCTTTTAATATCATCCAGATTCATAAATCCATCCTCATGTTGTCCTTCTGAGAACACCACAGTGTTTTTCCCCTCACACAGCCATGTGCTCCCTCCTCAAAACAACCCAGCAGCAATGCCACTGTGCTGGCATGCAGAGTGACTAATGCCTGTTGTAATGTTCAGATGAATGCTGAGTTGCTGCTCTGCAGAGGAAACACTGACCGCTTCCACTGTGGTCAGATTCATCATTATCTCTGCATAGCAACATCCAGGCAACAGAGCTCTCCCAGGAACACAAAACTATTATTACCCCCGTAATTTCTTCAGCCTCAACCAATTGTCCAAACACTGAGGACATGTTGGACAGTATAAGCCTTAATCAAGCATATAAAACATTGCAATACTGTTGTCGACAGGCAGCCTGATGAAGTTACAGCAGGTTGGATGGTTCAAAAACATGGCAGGAAGATGTAAAGCTCATTATTTTCAATGTTTCCAGATTTTCAAAAACAGACTTTGTCCAGATTTCTTTTAAAAGCAGCATTTTCTGGTCCCTGGAATCAGAGCGGCAGTGTTTTGGGCAGCCAGAGGACGCTGAGTTTAAACAGGCTCCTCTGACGGTGGCAGTTTATTATAAAAAAGTGACGACGAGAAAAATCACAAGAGCTGCTGATTGTGCTGCAGAGTCCTTCTGAAATGTTCTGTGATGCAGTCAGGGCCGTAGCTACCACTGAAGACACTGAGGGTTTTGCAACGTGTCACTGTGAAATTTGTAAAATTTACATTTAATTATAAGTCTGGTGATATTCTAATATTATCTAATTGTCATTAAGTCCCATGTGACTCTACAATAAATCTACTAACACGTCCTGAGTGTCTCTCAGCCTGATATCTCTTCTTCCTCTGAGCCATAGAGCTCCATTGTTGTCTGGAAACTATTAAAACACGACATGTTCCTTCATATTTGTTTGATAGAAACAACAGTGAGCAGCTGAGAAATGAAACTATAAATTTGTGAGATGTTTTCAGAGATTTACATCTTCAGTAGGAACCAATGGGTTCGGAGCCGAGAGCCTCAGACAGGAAGTCAGAAAGTATTGCGAGACGAACTGACGTGCTGTTGGCTTGGATTTGAACATGGGACTTGCTGACAATCAGTTCTAAACAAGACCTTCTGTGACCTTTTTAGACTGGAAATGATAGAAGTGGTAAAATGAAAAACACTTCTTTAAAACACAAGCAGGACTTTCAATTAAAATATAATTCAATCTTATTTATTTATGTATCCATAAAAGAAGTTATCTCATAGCACTGTTCATATAGAGCAGGTCTAGGCAGTGCTCTTTATATTTTTAATGAGGTTACGGCCCTGTCTGATCTGTATTTTTGCATGAAATTGAAAATAATGAGCTTTGTGATATGCCCTAATGAGACCTATGACCTGACACTGTACTATAGCTATGTCTTCTACCTATCTGATTTGCCTTTAAAAGGGAAATTCTGATATTTTTCTCATAATTGTGGACACTCTGACTTATTAGTCATGCTGACTTATGCCTCTGTAGTAGAGAATTTAGGAAAAACAACTTCGGCAAAATAAAGTACAGGCTATCAGAGCCAGCAACGCATGCCTGCTGGAGGTTTCTGATCATGTCACATTGCTTGTCTCCAAGTCTGAACGAAAATAAACATCAGAATTAGCCCGCCTGGATTAGCTACTGTTGCTAACTAGCTTATCCAACACAGACAAGGAGCTAAGTCAAATGAATTAGTTAGATGTTAGATCATGCTATATTTAAAATGATATGGAATAACTGTAGATGAATATGTAGTCACAGCTTGCTTTGTTAGCCGACATCAGTAGATCCCCATGTAGCAACAGCTAATACAAGAGGCTAATTTATGTGTACTTACTTAGAGACAAGCGTTAGAACAGGTAGTGTGCTTATTAGCTAACCAGACAGCTAGCTTGGATTCGTTTTAAGTTGCCCCACAGGTAGATCCTTCTGCAGAATGACAGTCAGAGCAGCCACTATTTTGAGAATAATAATAACCAAATTAAAAAATTCAGGAATCCCTTCATGGATGTCAAACTCAAGTACCTGCAGATGTATCACAGAAAAGACCAGAGACCATATTTTAACTGCGCACTGCAGCCATGTGTCATCGACCAGGACAAATGTGAGTTTAAGTAGGCCCAAAACTCAGGAGTATATTCAGATCGTTATCAAAACTTCGTCTATAACACCTTTTCTTTTCCAGATGTGCAGGGAGTAGTGTAGCAGGAGAAGTTAAGCTGCACGTAGTAAGCTCTTTGCTGTCAATTGTAACGGGAGGCACTTCAGTCAATTCTATAATGAGACGGGGTTCAAGGCACTAGAAACTAATTTTAGATATATCTATGAAATTTGTTAAATATTACTGCTTTCCCTTCTTGAAACTGTTTAAAAGTCAAATGCAAGAAGAAAAAAATGGGGTCACAAATCACATAAAATGATCCCATGCACTCCATCATCCGAGATCAAAGCTTTAAATAAATGAAAAGGGAGGATGTAATTTCTGAAATGTCATTTTTTCAAGAGAATGTCGGATATTTCTCTTCTTCTGATATTTTTCCTGTGTTTTTTTTTTTTTTTTTCAGCAGATTTGTCCCCTCCGGCAGTTAGCTTCGTCATGCACCGTATCCTGTCGTTAGCTTGACAATAATGAGGAGAACCATCATGATCCCCCAGCTCCCGAGGTCCCTCCACAACTGCAAGCAATTTAATACTGTAGTCATGCATTGAGTATACATAGCTATAGCATAGCTAATTAGGCCATAATGCTTTAGTATTTTGACATGCCATGATCTTCGAAAAAGAAGTGTTCCTGTTCCCTTAATGCTTTAACATTCAACACTTAAATGTTTTAAAGTAACTTAAACAATAAATAAATAAGCCAGTGCACTTTTGGTGAAAACAAATGAGAAAAAACTGCGATTCCAGGAAGAGGAGATGAACGTCAAAGAAGAGAAGACGTAAAAAATAAAAATGAGGTAACGTCTTGTGCATGCCAATAAAAGAGAGAAGAGAGTCTCCACATGCTTTTATATAAAGGAGTGTTGCATGGCATCGTACAGGGAACCTCCAGCCGACCTGTAGCAGCAGCAGTGTAGATAATCCTCCTCGAGGCTCGGCACAAGTCTTGTTTGTTTCTGATAAGGTGCCTGGAATAACGTCGATCAACATCTAATGTTGAGTTATCCTAAATGTGCCTGGATGTGCCGTAGAAAACACGCCCCAAACTGTAATCCGCTCAAAATGTGTTTCTTCCCTCAAGTCGTCCACTGACGTGTTCTTCAAATCTCAGTTGAGTCAGTTATCCTGAAAGATGAGTCTATTGCACAAAGCCTGGTAGGTGTCCGGGAGAGTTTTTTAAAATAAATTATTATATTAAATTCGCAATTTGTGCCCTCAAATTGCTGATTATTCCCTCACACTTTCAATATACTAATGTTTTTTAATTTTCTATATTCTACTCTCAAACTTTGCTTTTGGCTTTTCTGCCTTTTATTAAATAAAAATGAGACTATTCATATTTTGCGCCGTACTGTTTTCTATTCTCTTGTTAATCAGTTTTTTTTAAATTCTTTATTAATCCTGTTTGTCATGTCTTGTGTACAACACTTCCACTTGTTGTCGAAAGGTGTTACACAACTAAACTTGCCTTGAGGGAAATTAATTTCCTCAAATGGACTAAATCTTGCTCTTATGATTCATTTGCTCCCTTCCTTGTCTCTTGTGCATCCACCTGTATAGTCATCCTCCAGAATAAGATTTTTTTTTACACATTGGATTATCTAAATTTATCTAAAACCAGATGTAAATCTACAAATTACACTTAAGAGACATCAGAGATAACACAAAGTTGTGTTTTAACAGCCTGAAGTATACCTATGAATCTCAGTCAAAAGTGAAGATGGTAACGCTGTCAAAGGGGCACTCCATCAATTTATTATTGCACTGCATTAAAAAAAGAACAGTAAAAAATATCTTGACTTTTGTCTGTAGTTTTGGGAAAACTTCAAAAACAACTGGCTCTTCCATTTCCCATGGTGCAACCTGACAATAACTACCATAATATCTTCCGTTAGTCTTTTATCCTGCCTGGTATAAGCCAGTAAATTTGGACTGGTCAAAATCAAAGCGCCAGCTCATGTAAAAGTCTTTTAACAGACTCTCAATGCCTCGTAATCACGCACATCTTTCAAAATTCGACACCTCCACTTTGTAACGCACGCTTTTCTGTAAAAAGAAAAAGGAAAAAGTAATCCCCATGCCAAAACCAGACAATGACATCACTATGAGATCACTCAGGTTATTATCTCATTCTAAGATATAACCTTTATGTAAAAAATTGGTGGAGTTCCCCTTCGATTTGTGGGAATGAACTAAGTAATTAGTAAGTAATTTATCAAAAATATTCCCTGACACCTGCTGATCTTTGAACTGTTGCCAGACGACCCTGTCACTGTGTTTTCATGAAATAACTGAGCCTCTACCTTTTTACAAGTTTACCATGAGTGCCTTAAAATCTTTAGTTATTCATACATGTTTGAATGAATCAATGCAAAAGAAGAATAAAATGCACCAATGGAAATAAAGCATCCAGATATTTCTACAATATGTACACTGGTGCGTTGGACGCCGCCTCACACGTCGGTGAGCAGCTTCCCCTTGTTCACACAGTTGTGGCTGGGAGCCGTGCAGTTGGCAGTCCTAAGGTTTGCTTCCCTAAAGTTATCGATGCTGTTGTTCATGTCCTCGTCTATCTCCATGTACTCCGACTTGCTCATCACCGAGGAGCTGCGGCGGCTCGAGTTGGTGTCCGACGCCAAGTTCTGGTTGCTGACGTTGAGGAGCTGAGCCTGCTCCTCGCCCTCCGTCTCCCGGTGGTAGAAGTAGTTGAAATTGGACACGATGACGGGCACCGGGAGTGCGATGGTTAACACTCCGGCAATGGCGCACAGCGAGCCCACGATCTTCCCTCCGATGGTCACGGGATACATGTCCCCATAGCCGACGGTCGTCATCGACACCACGGCCCACCAGAAAGCATCTGGGATACTGGTGAAGAACGACTCCTTCTCCTCGGCCTCAGCGAAGTAGACAGCACTGGAGAACAAAATCACGCCGATGAAGAGGAAGAAAATTAGCAAGCCCAGCTCCCGCATGCTCGCCTTTAGAGTTTGCCCCAAAATCTGGAGCCCCTTTGAATGTCGGGACAGTTTAAAGATCCTGAACACCCTCACCAGGCGGATTACCCTGAGAATAGCCAGAGACGTGGCCTGTTCCCCTCCTCCCTTCCCCTCCTTGTTGTCTTGGTCGTCAGCCAGCTCTGTTCCAAGAGTGATGAAGTACGGGATTATAGCCACAATATCGATAGAGTTCATCATGTTTTTAAAGAAAGCCGCCTTGCTGGGACAAGCGAAAAACCGGACTATCAACTCAAAAGAAAACCAGATGATGCAGAGCGTCTCCACCACAAAGAAAGGGTCTGTGAGGAAGTTTGGTTTGTAATACACGGTGACGTTCCCCACTATCTGCATCCGCTGATTGGGATCCTCCTTCAGCTCTGGTAACGTCTCCAAACAAAATATGACTATTGAAATAAGAATAACCATCACTGAGACGATGGCGATCCCCCGGGCGGGGCCCGAGCTCTCCGGGTGTTCAAAGAGGAGCCAGATCTGCCGCTGGAACTCCTTCTCTGGCAGGGGCCGCTCCTCTTCCCTGATAAATCCCTCGTCCTCTCGAAACTTCTCCATAGCCTCCACGCCAAGTTCGTAAAACTTTATCTCCTCTGAGAACATATCCAGGGGCACGTTGACCGGTCTTCTTAGCCTTCCTCCTGACTGGTAATAATACAAGATGGCATCGAAACTCGGGCGATTCCGGTCAAAGAAATACTCGTTTCGTAAGGGGTCAAAGTAGCGCATCCTCTTCTTGGGGTTCCCGAGTAGAGTTTCGGGGAACTGGGCGAGAGTCTTTAGCTGGGTCTCAAAGCGCAGCCCCGAAATGTTGATGACCACCCGCTCGCAGCAGTCGTGGTCATCGTGATCGTCGTCGGGCGGGTAGGGGTCCTGCGGGTGTCCCGGCAAGGTGGAGGTCTCATCCATGTTCTCTGTGGACACCACAGTCATCCTTCCTGGTGGGTGGAGGACAAGGAGAGGAAGCGGCGTGAAGGTGAAGAGGAACAGGTTGGAGCGAAGACGCCTCTACTGAGGCCGGGAGCTGTGCAGAGCCTTCCTCTCCTTCATCATCACCACCATCTTCATCATCATCATCATCTTCTTCATCTCTGAGCTGAACATCTTGTTTCTCTCAGCAAAGCTTCATCTGTCACCTGCAAGAAGGTGAAACAAATTAGATCTGGTCCCTCAGAGCACACAGATCTCCGTTCACACCCCACATATCAGGGAGCTAAACAGCGAGAGGAAAAAAATATCATGCAGTACAGTACAGCAGCCTGTGCTGCATTTGCTGTATTTTTACCGCATACATCAGTATTCAAGTTTGCAGTCCTGCTGCGCTTCCTCTCTGCGCAGACTCATCTCATGCATCAACTGTTGTCCAGTCAAGATAAAGATTTTACACATTCAAATGAACAAACAAGCATCATTTAAATCCTCAACAGCCTTTTTAAAAGATGAAAATTATTAACAAAAATTTACCTGTGCTCAGCCGGAGGGCATCAGATGGAAGGAATGTCCTCACCCTGCCTACCTTTCCCCAACTTGGGTTTAATACTGATCTCGTTTTACAGTATCTCTGAAAAATTAATAGACTATGTTGTCTTGGTTAACATCCGTATCCTCTTGGTGTAGGTTTTCAGCATTGATCGGAGCTGCCCGCTGCAGGAGGAGGAGGCTTCGGACGGCTTTGAACCGCGGCTCAGCAGCAAAAATCCTGACTGACAGTTTCTTAAAATCATGCTGGAAATAAAGGAGGCGGAGGACAGAGACCGGTGGAAAGAAAAACATTAGAAATAAGGCTGGAAGTGGCTCCCAGTCTGATGGAGGGAACTGGGAGGACTGGACACTGCAGCATCAGCAGAAAGCGGCTCTCCTGTTTTTTTTTTTTTTTTTTTTTGCTGCGGTAAAAAAATAAAAAATAAATAAACGGAGGGAAAAAAGACGCGAGGCTTTGCGGGAAAACCGGTTTAGGATCCCGCACTATAGGCGCACGAGACAGAGGACGTGTCTCCGGTTAATTTGGAAGCATATTGCAGGATTTCATGAGAGCAAACGGGAGAAGTGAGTGAAGGAGGGAGGGAGGGGTTGGGAGAGAGAGAGTGAGTGAGGGGAGTGAGAAAGAGGAGAGGAGGGGGGTTTCGACGCAATGCAGACAGACTGTAAAACACAGTTGGCACTACAGCGCGGGAGTATCTGCAACACCCGCCCCGGTACCAAACGGCACAGCAGCAGGTCCAGAACCGGTGTCCAAAACCAAAAGTTGCTTTGTTAAATTACCATTCAAAGGAAGCTGCATGTCTCAGTACTTTAAACAGGCTAATTTCACAGTGAAGTATCCACTGCATCATGTTATGTAACCAGAGTGTTCAATATATTCCTGCTCCTGGTGTCAAAAACAAACACTCCCAGTTTGAGGTTTGACTGGAGGAACCTGCAGGAACCCGAGATCCTGTAATTGGCCGCTGAGCTCTTTGCGACAGTCGGGCCTGCATGTTGGCGCACATATCCCGGTGTTGTGTTGCTATGGTAACGGGGAGAAACCGGCAGGGTGATGTTTTTGATGATTTTAAATCTTTATAATATTCTTGTTTTCTTTTTGTCCTGTGTACTGTACTGCCTCCTGTACCTGCTGCAAGGCAGTGAGATCAGATGGGCTGGTCTGATTTGGAATCAAAAGATGAATTTTGACTTAAGCTACCAGCCTAACTTTAAAGTGAAAACGATTACGAACGAATCTCGGTAACTCAAAATGTACCAAGTCAAAATAATAGTTTTGAGATACTTGGCTAACTCAAAGGGGAGTTTATTTACCTTTCATACACTGCGATCATTCAAAATACGAAGAAAAAGACAATAAAATATTAAAAAGAATACTAAAACAATGAAATATGTTGAACTGAGATAACAGCCTGGTAAATAGAAGCATTTCCAACCTGTGTGTCTAGAGTCGGCTTTTCTAAAGCTCTCCAACTGGTTCCATCTAAGCTAAATGCTGCTCCTCCATGTTTAGCCTTTCGGACTGTAAGGACATGTTCCCAATGATCTGACAGCGCTGCTCATATTGGTGCAGTGGATCAAATAGATATGCTGGTCCTACACCACTGACAGATGTATAGACCAAATAGAGGGCATTGGTGTCATTTACACTGGGGACGCTGGGGACATGTCCCTAACACTTTTTTAAATGGCTGATTTTGTCCCCGTCACTTTTTGAAAGCATTTGTTCTGAAATTCTGAAAAATTCCTGAAAAATAGATTTCCACAAGAAATGTAAACTAACAAATGGAAATGCTATGAGAGTGGTTCATTTGCACAAGAGAAAGAAAACATGCAGTGCAGTTTAAATATTGAAGAAAAACGTGTGTATTCTCCAACAAAAGTAACTTAAGCTAAAATAACATGCTGCTGATTGCTGCATTATATTCTGCTATATTGTTATATTTCAATTTTGTGTCTCTTTTTATAAATAAAAACATTTCTACCATAAATTGGTGCAGAAAATTTCTCCAGTCCTGGCAGAAATAAAATCGTGGATAAGTTTCTCCAGGTCTGGTTTAGTTAAATCATTTCTAGAAGACGTGTCCTCCAAAGTCGACCTTCATTAAGCATTAAGCTACACGTCCTGATAACTGAGATAACAAAAGAGGGATTTAGTTGGTTTGGTATAAATTATAAGAGCGCAAACCTCCAGCCTGGAATTTCTTTGAGGCTTAATTTGAGAGCTTGAATTCACTGGAGCCTGGAAGTTATCTCACCTCTATTGTGAGGAAGGTCACATGGGCGGGTCGAGTATAAGCCGACGGAAATGACTCAGAAAATATACATATCTGAAACTGGGGCTATTAAAAAGATCTTTGCTTCTGTGTGTGGTGGATTTATCATTTGTCTACATAAGTCAGTCTAACTTGTGTGTTTAAAGGCTTTAAATGGAAAAAAAAAAGATATTTATAAGAATTGTAAAGTCTGAAGAAATCTGCAGGTTTTAGTCAGAAGCTAGAATTTATTGTCAAGGACACTTTCTCCGTACGTCAGTACAGCTTTGATTCTTTGTAAGGAGAGGGCTGCTGTTTCTGTATTATCAAGAAATCCCATGAAAAGACCCAAACCAACAACATGTTAGTCTGTCTCTCAACTCTTCCTGTCTGAGCCTCTCAGCTCTGACCTCACTGAGTCCTTCTGAAGACGCAAATCTGTAAAAACACCTCACAGATTTATAAATCAGCTGCTCGCTGTAGTTTCTATCAGACAAACAGGAGGAAACCGTGCATCTGTCGGGGACTATTTCCACATGTGGTGCTCTAGTAAGTACTTGGGGACAGCAGGACAGTGTCTGCATCCTGTTCTCACTCCCAAGTCATCACATATGAACACATGGTCATGACCCCTTGGCTTTGGTTTGTAACGCACTGGGTAAATGTGGCCAGAAACCAGACTTTCACCCAGGAGACTGGTGTTCGTTTCTTTTGTTGAAAGTTGAATGTTTTATATAAGTAGGTTACATTAGTAACACTACTTAACTTACATAAGATAAGTCACAGAAGTGAAGTAGTTATTTAACCCAAACTGTGACATTTTCCTAAACCAAGTAGTTTTGGTGCCTAAACCTAACCAAATTGTGTTGTTTCGCAACGTTAACCACTAGTTTTATATTGAAAGTCTTACTGGAAAGTTGCAGATTTACTCTTGCTAACTTGACCCCGGAGCCCTACACAAGCAAATACAACCCCCAGGGTGTTAAAAATCAATGCCAAGGGGTCTTGGCCAAGCGTGATGAGTTGGGAGTTAGAACATGTTGTTGGGACTGAGTCAGAATAAACTACAGTGTGTGTTCACGGTGATGAGGGAACATGTGACCCAGTGCAGCAGTGAGGCTCACCGATGGGTTCAGGTATCTGGACAATAATGGAAGAAGTAGAGACCCACATAGGACGTGTTAGGAGATCCAGTCACTGCTGATTTGAGTCTGTTATGGGATTACAAGACTTAAGACTTAATGCAGGTAATGTACTGGTTATTGATCCACTGTGGTAGTGCTGGGTTTGCATTGTTTTTTCACAATGATTCCACTACAGATTATTTGAAATCAGTTTTATTAGTTTTTGCAGGAGCTCGCAAGAATCAATGAGCTCTACTTTCTGAGCCACACGAGGCATCTGCAGTTCAGCACCACGGACAGCTCCTCTTCCTCACACGTCCCTAAACTTTATTTTCCTTTATTTCAACATTTGTCTTTATCGTGCTTCTGTCACCATTACAGTGAAACACGATATGGTCGACATTTATGACGCTGTTGTGTCCAGTTTCTCCAGCAGATTGGAGGCAGCGGGAGTGAAAGCCCAGCAGACGGACCCGCATGGGCAGGAAGCTCATGGATCAGCTGGCTGCAGAGAATCAGCCCTAATTACACAGAGTGGAGAAACACAAGAGACAGAGACGTGAAAGATGGAGAGAATTTATTAAAAGTAACATTTAATCACATTATTATAACTACATTATAACTAGACTATATTATATTTGGTCTATTTACAATAGAAATGAGCCAAATTGTGAACTATGTGTCAGATATTTTATAATTTCTCATCAATTTCTACATACTGCCTTAGCTATATGTATGTTCAAATGATGTAATTACAGTCACCTGTAAATATAATTCTATGCAATGTTTAAGTGATTTATTGATTCTTTTTAAGCACAAATACAGATCAGATGTTTCTCTTTGTCACAGCTGATCCATTTCATTTTTAATCAACAGGGGCGTTCACAACCTGAGAGGCAAATCTCAGGGCTTACTTAATCATGAGGACTAGTGAACATTGTTTTTTAGATTTAAAAAAGAAAGTCATATCTGTAATTGATGATTAATTATAGTGCGTTTTTAGAACGCAGGAATCTGTACAGTTGATTACAGTAGATTAAATGTTTTTTAGTAGTTGTTGTTTTAAGCCCTGAATTGTGTCTGCAGCTCTTCTTGCAGCATCTACAACCTCCACAAATCAGAGCAAGGGCAGCCTGTTTTTAAGCTTGTTGCTGTGAGCACAAGGTGATAGTTTAAAGCAGCCCATGTAAATATATCATATCTACGTCTACATTTTATTTCTATGTTATTCAGCAAATGAATAAAAGTAGGAATGTGTGTCCTTGTGTGGGTGAAGGTTATTCTGTGTGTCTGGCTGAACTCTATTTGTAGTTACAGTGTTAGTTTGTCACTGTAAGAGTCTGACAGCTGGATGCGTTTCTGCACGGCTGCTCCAGCAAGATGCTACATGTAGTGGTGAATTCTTGAAAACTAAATTTAGTTTGTAAACATGCCTTTCTGGACGAGGAACATACAAATCCAATTCATTTAACCTCTTAGGTTTCTTGGGCTTTTAAACATGCGGGCTTATGGTACATAAATGCATCCTGGACAGTGTTTAAACTGCCGAACTGCACTGCAAAAATGTGTGTTTCCAGAAATACTAAGGTCAATACAGAGTGACTGCCATGGCAATACTGTGAGTTCTTATTTTGGTTGATTAAATTATTTTCTAACCAAACCATCATTTTAATTTTTGCTGTTTTCATAGTGTGGTAAGTAAATTTGAAATCAGAGGAGATTTATAGTAAACTTTCCACTTTGTGCTCGGGGTAAAGTTCGCTTTTAGGTGGTGACCAAAGGTCAAATTCAACGGTGAGCAAATCTACAAACATGACTTCAGGCTCCAGAGGGATTAATGCAGCTGGACGACACATGGTCTCACACTTTGTTGGCATGAAAACATGTGAACAATCCAAAAGGAGGCGGAGAACATGAGCCTGAAAAAGTTGAAACGGGAAAATAGCTGAACACACATATTCACACACTGACACGGCTGCACAGATGCACCTCTGATGACTTCATCCCCAGCGCTGCCTGGACTGTCAGATGATACTTGCAGGCTGCTGCGGTACAAAGGAGAGGCTGCTGCTATAACCGGCCGAGTGTCCGATTACAGCTGCTTCACCAACGCTGAAACTGAAGATGGAAGACAGAGCAGCGCCTAAAACCCCTCCTCAAAGCAAGTGGAAAGTTTAATGTGCACTTGAACTCTTAC